TACATATTCTTACGCTTAACAATACCCCTGTTTCTAGTTTTTTGTTCTTTGAGAAACATTTCGTACAAATTATACAAATATAAAAGAAGATTTAAGAACTAGAGACTGGAGATGATGAAATCCTTAATTGTCAGTCTTGGGCTTATACTATTGTTGCAAGAAGCAGAAATGATTATAGAATTGGCTTTTTAAGCTCCCAGGTCTGTGCCTTGTGTGTGCCTTGTGTGGGCTCAGTTTTCCTCGGACACAAGTAGCAAAGCTCCGACTCCCAGTTTTCAAAAATTGGCTTTTGTAAGAAAGTAATCATATGCATGAAGTCTTCCCTTTACCCTCAACTGATGTTTCGTTTTAAAATAACTCAAAAGCAGATCATCTTTCCATGGTTCTCAGGCCGTATTTGTTTAAAGTGCAAGCATCAGGTATGATAGAGGAGCCGAATTGTAAGAGAATTGCAAGTATGTCCAGATCAGCTAAAGAAATTGAATTGATTAGGAATGTACAAGAAAAAAGGAAGCAAAAACAGTCTCTGATTCCTTATGTTCATGAAGATTGTGTCTCAAATATTCTTATCAGACTCCCACTTGACTCACTTCATAGGTCGATGTTTGTTTGTAAGCACTGGTTTAATATTGTATGCAGCCCCACATTCATTGAGACTCATCTCCGTCGTTCCGAATCTGTTTTGATCTTCACAGCACAAACTCTTTACGACGAAACTTTCCCCCATCTTGCTCCTTCACTCCCACATTCTAAAAAACCAAACACCGTATCAATTGAAGCTAAGTACATGCAGTCCTCTGAATCTCTCTCTTTATTCCATAACTTAGAGCCCACCTCAAAGCTGTTCATTCAGTTTTTGGAATTCAAAGATGGGTTTAGCAACATAAACGAGTACCATTTAAGTTGCTTTGGAAGGATCAGAGCGACCTGCAACGGTTTAATATTGCTCGATAACAAATTGAAGAAAGGGGGACTAATAGTTATTAATCCAGTGACCAGGAAGCTGACTACTCTTCCTCCAGGAACTTTGTATTCACCACATAATGAATCTTATGGATTTGCATTGGATGAGGTTTCTGGCCGATACAAAGTCATTCACTTGTTTCGTGATTCACTGATGTTCATTGGTTGCGAGATATTTATTCTCGGGACTGAAGGGTGGAGAGCTGTGGATGGGCCTTCTTTTGGTCTTTTTGATTGGCTTGGATATAGACCTGTTGCAGCCATTGGAGCTCTGCACTGGATCCCGCAAGTTAATCACAGTGATTGCATCATGTCGTTAGAAATCGAGAAGGAAAAGTTCCATACAGTCCCACTTCCAAACAGTTGCAGTATGTATGACGGAATTGTTGAAATTGGCTCTTCTCTGAGCTTTGTCACTCATCAGGAAGCCAACATAGACATTTGGATCTTGAAAGGCTTGTCTGGGGAAGTATGGATAAAGCTACACAGCATCAACATAGGTTGCAGAATGGACATGGTTCCTCTTTTAAGTTTGAGAATCAGAGGAGACCTCATTTTCAAATCGAAAGACGGTTCGTTTTACACCTACGACTTTGAACTACGATCAGTTTCTAAAGTTAAGGGACCAAAACGTCTTGGTTTGTCTTCAGGTTCCCTTTTTCCTCATGTCAACAGCATGGTCTCTTGGAGTAGCAGTTAGAAATCTAGGTCAGTTTGTATTGATGATGCATCTTTGGAAATGCTATCACTTGCCATTTGATCTGATGTGGTATTTCTACTTATTTATGGTAACTTATGTATATGTGTTGTCTAAACGTTTTCTTTAGTTCAACATGTCGGTTGGGGTAGGGGTTCATTTGAACCTCTAACCTCTTAGTCGAGAATATATACCTCAACCAATTATGCTCAGATTGGCATATTGTCCCAACGTTTTAGGTTCTGCGTAAAAGTTGAGTTTTTCAACTATTTTTTACCTCATAAGTTGATGGTGCTTTTGTTAACTCAGTATTTATTATGTCAAAAGTAAATAAATAAAATTTTTAGTTTCAGTAAATTATTTTTAAAATATTTTATTGCATAAAAAGTTCTATAATTCTTATAAAAGTTTCATTCTTTTTCTTCTATATTTATTTTATACAGAAATTTTGTTCTATGCCTTATTGATCAAACTTAATTGGTTCTAATTATTGAGAGTTATGTTTAATAGCTCTCCTAATTTTCAATTTTACTTCTAATAGGTCCTCAAGAATCTACTGGTTCAAACAACCTTATTTGAACAAGATGGTTGTACTACTGTCTCTGAGTTAAAAAATCTATTGGTTCAAGAACCTATTAGATATTTGTTTTAAATTTTAAAGTTTAAGAATTTTTTAGAATTTTGAGATATATTAAACACAATAGTGAAAGTTTAAAGAAAAAATTTGTAATTTAACCTATTTAGTATCAAAATATATAAACTAAATATATATCAATGTGTTCAAATTATTTTTATACGATCCACAATTCATTGAACAAATATTCTGGATCTGCCACTAGAGCAACATTCTTAGTGATGTAAAGAACAAGGTAAACAAACGAACTTCAATGGCGCAAGGACTAGAGCAACACGACAACAGGAAGAACAATACAACCTACCAATGGACGGTGATGGCATGCTAGCATTTAATTGACTACTTCGATACCAAGTCAATTTTGAGAGAATGGAATTATTTCTCACATTCAAAAGGGAAAGCCTTAGGTCACCTTAAGTAGAGGTGAGACGCATTGTCAAATAAAGAAACTCATACAATAATTTGCTAATTACAAATAAGAGACCGTTGCAAATATGACAAAAAACATTTAGTAAAATTAGCAAAATAGCAACCATATTTTTTTTTTTCAAATATAAAACTTAAAAAAAAAAACAAAACGGAGGTCCAATTTTAAAATGACAACTTTATCTAAATTATATATATCTGTAATACATCTTACTACTGATATATGTATGTGATATACATCTGATTTATACTACTAATATGATATACATCTGATATACTACTCATATGAGTGTCTGTACAATATGTATGTGATATACATTTGATGTGAGTATGAGTATCTGATGTACTACTGGTATGAGTAGTTATTGTGAGTATGAGTATCTGATGTACTACTAGTATGAGTATTTAATAACTATTGATATAAGTGAAAATTTGTGCAATATCAAAAATTTCAAAAAAAAAAGTGACATATTTTAAAATACATCAAAGATTTTGACTGCCTACCCTAATTTTCCTACAAGTAATATAAAAGAAAAAGTAATTAATAAATATTTAGGATAATTGTTTACTAAAATACATAAAACCAACCAATACATCAAGGATGAAATTGAGAATTTTAACTCACTAAAGACCAAATTACTTCTAATGTTGATCATCAAATTTGATATTACTATTTTATATATTTATTACACGTTGATTGACATAACACAACACACAATTATCCGAACGGGGATAAAATGACTCCATCGAAGTATACATTTTATATTTAAAAAATAACAAAAATCAAAAATGGAAAAAATTGTTGTCATTCCCCTCCCTTGGAACCACTCAAAACCGTCCACCTGAACTGATAAAAGTCGTGAATTCGAATCCCTACCGCAACATGGTCTCGTCGCTATTATAATATATACCCAAATACATTTGAGAATTACATTATAAACCGAGTTGATAAATTGATTGTATGATATATACCAATATATCAAAAGTAGAAACTCAGCCAACTTTAACCAAATCGTCCATTATTGATATTATGTGTTTTTTTCCGACAGCAACTAGCTGTTCACAACGGCTAGTGGTAACGAAAAAAAAAAGCAACCCGTCGATTGAGCCATACTATTTCACGAGGCGATTGGCTACGACGATGAGCTACGACGTCGGCCGGCTACAATGGCAGTAGATTCGATATTGGTTTCTTCCTTGGCGACTTCACCTCATTGTTGTTTAAAAGAGGGATGAAGGATTTTTGTAGGGCAAATGATTTCTATGGCAAATATGGGAAAGAGGGAGAAAAGAGGGATGAGAAAT